GCAAAGACAAACCTTACTAAGAGAACAGGAAATTGTGGAGAGCCATGATTGCACACATCCTGAAGGAAGACGTCACAAAGAAGAAGGAGGAGGAGGAGGTGTAGAAGAAGGAGGAGGAGGAGTAAGAGATGTAGAAGAAGAAGGAGGAGGTGTAGAAGAAGAATGGAGGAGGAGGTGTAGAAGAAGAAGGGGAGGAGGTGTAGAAGAAGCAGAAGGAGGAGTAGGAGGTGTAGAAGAAGCAGGAGGAGGTGTAGAAGAAGAATGGAGGAGGAGGTGTAGAGGAAGAAGAAGGAGAATGAGGTGTAGAAGAAGATGAAGAAGGAGGAGGAGGAGGTGTAGAAGTAGAATGGAGATGGAGGTGTAGAAGAAGGAGGAGGAGCAGATGTAGAAGAAGAAGGGTGGAGGAGGTGTAGAAGAAGAAGGAGGAGGAGGAGCAGATGTAGAAGAAGAAGAAGAAGGAGGAGGAGATGTAACACTTTCGATTAGAATACAGAGGAAATGTAGGTGATTCGACAAAGATGAGGATGATAGTCCGAACAATGTAAATAGGTAGAAATAACTAACCATTTTGCCATCATTTTTAACAATTACTTCTACTTGGGGGTCTGGATTGAACCTTATTCCTAACAGACGTTCTTTACTTACGAAATTAATATTGTAATAACGTGGCAAATTGTTGTAATAACCCACCCACAGGAGAATGAACTCTTCCTCCTCTTCATAAATACTAACTTGCGAGACTTCTTCTGTGTGGGGGTGGGCAGTCGAGACGCAGTTTTAACTAACCGTTCGGACGTATACTTCTATCTGCTTATTACTAACACTCTTGATTTATATATATATATATATATATATATATCTGTTATTTCACTCTACTTGTTCAACCTACCTTCGTCTTCTGTTTCTTTCTTTCTGGCCCCTAAACAGGGTACAACATAAATGTAATATCAAAATTAACACTGTTAGTTCCAATCTAAGTTAGGTATGACTGTAGAACTATCCCCCACCACACACACACATCACCACCACCAATTTATAGGCAGAACTACACAAATGCATGCTGGGATTTATTCCTAACCAATAAGAAAGGCCACTTCTCCGATTTAGCTCGGTTTGTTTTGTCTTGAACCCGGAAGTCTACGTTCGTTTCTCCGAATTTCTTAGTTTGTGAACTTTTTTGCCTAATTACCGTTGCTTTGTCTTGCATATATTGTTTGTTTGCTTAATGTTAATTTTGCCCAGTTTTTTTTTCTTTTTATTGTCTATTGCAAACTTTGTCAATTCTGTTTGTTGGGCAGTGTAGCCATTTACATTGAGCCACGGCTGCTTACTCTAAATAAAGTCAAGAGTTGAAAAAAAGGATCACAGAAAGCAGTTGATGTCTGGTCCAACAAAATATTGCAGATAATTACAAGTGCCCTGCTTGTAATTCACTCCTCCTACGAGCCTGCTAGGAATATGGATGAAGTTGAACCAATTGATGAAAAGATGAAATATCAAACACATCTTATCTGACTCAGTCCCATCTTGTCTTGGAGTCAGAGCACTATGTTCGTTTGTCCAAATACGAGTCCAAAATGCAAATTACAAGCAACAACAAAGTTTTGGAGAGAATGGAAACAAAAAGGAAACCTATACTTAACATCAGGAAGAGGTGATTGAAATTTCTGGGAACATGAAAAGAGGAAGGAGGGTTTGGAAAATCTGATACTCACAGGGTGGATAGAGGAAAAGAGGGACAGTAGAAAGCAACACGTGATATTCTTAATGGGTTTAAGTAAATGGATGGCAGGACAGGGTTTGGGAGAAATAACAAAAAGACAAAATTTATTAAGTGCTACAAAGTACAGGAAGATGTGGAGGGCCATAATTACCTATGTCCTGAAGGGAGGCGGCACATAAAAGAAGAAGTGTCAACACCAATTCTTAGTTTGTGAACTTTTTGCCTTATTATTGTTGTTTTGTCTTGAATATATTGTTTGTTTGCTTTATATTATTTTTTGCCTGTCTTTTCTTTTTTTTTTCTCTTGTTATTGTTTATTGCAAACTTTGTCAATTCTGTTTGTTGGGTAGTGTGACCATTTACATTGAACCATGGCTACTTACTCTACATAAAGTCAAGAGTTGAAAAAAAAAAAGGATCACAGAAAGCAGTTGATGACTGACTCAACAAAATATTGCAGATAATTACAAGTGTCCTGCTGATAATTCAGCTCTCCTACAAGACTGCTAGGAATATAGATCAAGTTGAACCAATTGATGAAATGATGAAATATCAAACACATCTTATCTGATTCAGTTCCGTCTTGTCTTGTCTTGTCTTGTCTTGGAGTCAACACTGAACCATGTCCACTCACACTAGAAAACGCAGAAGTGACTTCCGTTGGGATAAACACATTAATTTTTTAGTATCAGATAGAAAAGAAACAGGTCATAATTTTAGTTTTGAAATTTCTACCTTATTTAAAACAAAAATACGCAAACTAACGCGGAAAACATACCTGGAATATATATTAATAAATAGTGAGTCTATAGTAATATTAATAATCATCATACAATAAATACAGATTCAAAAGACTCTCCAAACTTCTTACACATCATCAATATTCGTCAGATCTCTCCGTAAAGAACATAAGACTTGGACATTGTCGTAAGTTAGTATTACATATTCGCTTCCAATATTCGTCATGTTTATCATACAATTAAAATACACTCACGGAAGGCCCATCGTTCCGAATGCGGTCGAATGCCATTTTTAATGTGGGGTTCCCGCGTGTACATAAAACTTGCAGCCAAAACAAGTCCAATTCTTTTAGGAGTTAATATGCTTTTAATGATTACATGTTTTTTATACGGACTTAAAAAATGCTATTGTTTCAAGAATTAAACATAAACACAGGCGTCATTACGTAGGCACGCGACGTCCACACAAAAATTGAAAACTAAACAAACACAGAATTTAAACCTATATGTACAACGACAAAGAGTTATAGTGGTGCTTACGGAAGCTTTATTGAGTGACATTTATTTCCGCTTTAACAGAGGGTATAGGAAAGGCCGGTCTTCAGCTGTCCTCTCTTTAACTTAGCTAGCTACATTCACTGACCCAAACAAACTACAATATTGCTTATGTCAAAACAACACATTCTTACTTAACATTCTCACTACAGTCACCGTAATACCACAATGTCTCTATGAAGTTCTAACTAGTCCCCATATGCACAATTTCATCGGTTTTTTCCCCAACATGAGTACTGCGAGCCACAAATACTTTCTATATCTAATGATGATATATTCCCAAATAAACAGAGCGCCATGGGTTTATAAGCTTCCCCGCGTGGTATCTGTCTAAAAAAAAACTTGACTCCTGGAAGCTGACTGACAAAGCTGACCAATTTCATCAGTCAAAGGAGTGACGTCAATAAGCGACCGTCAGTTGTTACACGTGATATCATCTCAAGCAAAGGGAGATAACTGTCTTTTGCATTGCTACAACGGTGTCTGTCCGAAAAGTATCCATTTCTTTTGATTATTTAAGTTTTAGAATTCGTCGCGTATCGTACAACGATTTCCTTTATTTTATTTATTTTATTTTTTATTTATTTATTTTTGTTGCTTTGTTTTATTTGTTTTTCTTTTTATGCTTTTACCAGGTCTGTCCACTACAATTCTCTAAACAAGACTCGCTCGCTGATTTTAAAAAGTGTAACTAATGCTGGGACAAGTATGTCCAAAAAAGCATGGATAAACTATAAAATGGTTGGAACGTTAGCAATTAACTTTTGTTAAATATGTGCAGGTTTTTATTCCCACTCAAATAATACGACATTCCTTTCAGACCAACGAATTCTATAAGTGATTATATTAGTTAAACTCTTCGGGAATGTTTGTTGAGGTGGTAAGAAAGAAAGAAAGAAAGAAAGAAAGAAAGAAAGATAGAACAAGAAAAAGTGCACTAATAAGAAAATGAATAGAAACGGCAGAATAAGAAAGAAAGAAAGAAAGAAATAAAGAAAGAAAGAAAGAAAGAAAGAAAAAGAAATAAAGAAAGAAAGAAAAAGAAAGAAAGAAAGAAAAATGCGTAAAAAACAAAATGCGCAAAGACGCAAAAAAGAAAAACAAAAAAATGAATGGGAGTCAATGAAAAACGAAGCGTGGAGGGAAATGGAAAAACAAGAAAGACGAAAGGAGTGTGAAAAAGAAAAATAGAAAATAATATAGCGAAAGGTTAGAAAAAAAAAAGAATATGATTAGAAAAAGAAAATAGTGTAAAGAGAACTTGGCATATTACATAAAAAAAAATAAACAAAGAAAGAAAAACAGGTGGGAAACAGAAAGAAAGTGTTTTTTTTTTGTTTTTCGAAAACCGAGTTGCCTTCGCCGTATTTAGCCGCCATGTTTGAACAAGACACTCTATGGCGTGTGTCTGAGTTGACAGGTCGACGGGTGAAATTTCTCCACGGAGACGTAAAGGGGCCCGAAGGAGATGAAGACAAAGTAAATATGAATTGGACGAGGGGACGAAGAAAAGGCCAGAAGGCGAGAAAGAATTACAAATGATGTCAAAACCCAACAGCGTAAACAGTGCATCTCCCGTGGGAGAGGGGGGCGTGTCTTTGGGGATAAGGGCTGGAAGGAAATCAGTGCAACAGACGCGAAAACGGTTGCGGGGACGACGGATGTTTTTACACAGTGAATAAAGAGTGGAACCAGTTGCTAGATTATCAGCGACCTACTCTTGAGTTTCAGAGAAAATAAAATGGCAGTGAGTTGTATGGGGCGGAGACTGAACGAGATACTGACGGGGCAGGGGGCGCTTACATGAAAGGGATATAAAAAAAAAAGAACGAAAATAGATGACGATAGATAGGTTTTTAAAAGAATGCGTTCGATTTTTCGAAGAATGACACTTGTGTGAGAACCCTCGAGTTGTTTTGAACGAAGTCGACTAATGGTCAGTGTTGTGAGGATTGTGATGGCGATGATGAGGGGGAATATATCTGGAACAATGGATACTTCATTTTCTTCTTCTTCTTCTTCTTCTTCTTCTTCTTCTTCTTCTATGTGCCGTGTCCCTTCAAGACGAGGGAGATCATGTCTCTCCACAATTTCCTGTTCTTAGAAAAGTTTGTCTTTTTCTACATCTCCTAATCTCTGTTCTGCTATCCATTTGAACAATATTCTTCTTCTTCTTCTTCTCCTACTTCTTTTTCTCCTCCTCCTCCTCCTCCTTCTTCTTCTTCTTCCTCTTCTCCTCCTCCTTCTTCTTCTTCCTCTTCTCCTCCTCCTCCTCCTTCTTTTTCTTCTTCCTCTTCTCCTCCTCCTCCTCCTTCTTCTTCTTTTTCTTCTTCATCATCATCATCAAGGACCCATGGCCCAGTGGATTAAGACGTTGGTTAGGTCCAGTGACTAGACCCAAAGAGTTGTGAGTTCAATACCAGGCCACGGTAGTGGTGAACCCAAAACTTGGAGAGTTGAGTTAAAGGGAAATAACTGAGACATCTGGAAGAGGCATGACACGTGGAACTAGAACAATCTGCCCCGATGGACGAAATCAAAGTTTCGGTTCGAGATTCCAATCACCTGAAGAAGGCAGGAGCGTACAACGGCCGAAGCGTTGTGAGCATGGCAATGAAGATGGGGAGAACAGTCCGAATAATGTAAATAATGCAAAATTTTTCTCATAAATTTTTGGATGGCCTCTTTCACCATTCCAATGCTCCTTCGGATTTCGATGTCACATTTTCCATCCTCTGTTTCAGAGATTTAAATTCTTGTACTTGCTTGATTTTGTTACCTTCAATTTGTATTTCATATGCTGGGCTACTCTATTTTATGACAACCATGTTTTCTGTCTTCTTGCAGTTGCTGTTTAATCCTTTTTTCTCGTTTATGATTATGATTATGATTATTCCCCCCTCTTCACACTCTTCGCCGCTACCTTCTGTAGGAGATACTACATAACAGTTCAGTACTCTTTTCTTTGTTTCTAATTAAATTTTCTTGTTTCTTAATACTTTGCTTAACTTTTCTTCACAATCTCAATGCGACTTCGGATTTCGGTGTCACATACTCCACCCTCTGATAAAATACTTCCTAGACATATAAATTGATTAATTTTGGTATTCGCTTGTTCTGCTCTTTCTTTTACTGACAGCCATACATTCTGTCTTCTTACCATCGATGTTTACCATCGATTCTTACCATTGATGTTTAGTCGTTTCTTCTTGTTTTCTTTTACTACCTTCAGTAGGAGTTCATGTAGTTTCCTTTCTCACCAATTCTTTGTTTCATATAAAAAAAGAAAGCTAGTTAACCATTGCAAGATTTAATGGTTGCTAATGATATTCATAATTTTTGGAAGGCATCTTTTGCTATCTCAATATGAGCCTTCAGTTTTCAGTCACACTTTCTGTTCGCTGTTAAAACACTTCCCAGACATTTATATTTCTGTACCCGTTTGATTTTCGTATCTCCAATTTGTAATTTTCGTCCTGGGTAAGGCCTCTGATCAGGAGGTTTTGAGGAGTGCGGAACCACCACTTAATTGCTGGTGTTCCCAGGTCCACCCTGATCTGGGGTGGTAGCTAGCAACTGTTAGTGTCCCAGCTATGGGCAAATAGTTAACTATTACCAGCAATACTTTTTGGAAAAAAACTTAATAACAGCAATACAATTTTGAAGGAAAACTATTACCAGAAACAGATTTTTGACAAAACAAAATATTACCAGCAATAAAAAATGTTGTCGGCATTAAGTAACCCATTGAGGTGTCGATATGCCGTAACCACAAAATAAACCAAACCAATCTAAACCAAAGAATACATATTCTATTCATACGAATCTATCCTAAAAAGGTTGTCGGCATTAAATAACCTACTGGGGTTGATATGCCGTAAAACAAAATAAACCAAACCAATCTAAACCAAAGAATACATATTCTATTCATACAAATCTATCCTAAAAATGTTGTCGGCATTAAATAACCCATTTAGGTTGATATGCCGTAAAACAAAATAAACCAAACCAATCTAAACCAAAGAATACATATTCTCTTCATACGAATCTATCCTAAAAATGTTGTTGGCATTAAATAACCCATTGAGATTGATACGCCGTAAAACAAAATAAACCAAACCAATCTAAACCAAAGAATACATACTCTGTTCATACGAATCTACCCTAAAAATGTTGTCGGCATTAAATAACCCATTCAGGTTGATATGCCGTAAAACAAAATAAACTAAACCAAACCAATTTTAATTTCCCTGTTAAGGCTGTTCTTTTTGCTAACAACCATGCATTTTGTCTCCTTGCATTTGCTGTTTAGTCCTTTCTTCTTGCTTTCCTTCACTACCTTCTGTAGGAGTTCCTCTAGTTTCCTTTCTGCGTCCGCTATCAACACTGTGTCATCTGTATATATCTATTATATATATTATGGCCGCCAATAATAAATCCTGGTATGGCTTCTAATTCTCTCAGGATCATGTGTCCTGGTAGAAGACACGTCTTTATGTTACTCTCCTTTCTATTTTTGAGCAGATATGAATGTACGAGAGAAAATCATGGAGAATTGTAGTTTAAAAACAGTAAAATCGACCTTGCTAACCGAAACGCTCTTCTGTGGCTTAATCGATAAAAGCATGTCAGGCTATCTGACGGTATCCGTATAGGATACAGGTTCGATTCCTATCGGATGACGCATATTTTCTATGAACTTTTCTCCGACATTCAGGCCGGTAAATGTCATTAATACTGTTTATTATAAACAGAGCATTTACTTAAATATTTGTATCTATAAAAAGAACGTATAAACATAAAAAAAAAATAATTGTCGGACTTTGTCCATTTCATAATGTGTGACGTCATTTGTTTACATTTGGATACGCATCGAGCAGATATGAATGTAAGAGAGAAAATCATGGAGAATTGTAGTTTAAAAACAGTAAAATCGACCTTGCTAACCAAAACCCTCCTCTCTGGCTCAATCGGTAAAAGCACGTCAGGATATATGACGCTTCCTTATAGGATATAGGTTCGATTCCTGTCGAGGGACGCATATGTTCTATGAAAATTTATCGGACATTCAAGCCGGTAAATGTCGTTAATTACTGTTTATTGTAAATAGAGCATTTACTTAAATATTTGTATCTATAAAAAGAACGTATAAACATAAAAAAATGTCTTAAAATAATTGTCGGAATTTGTCCATTTCATAATGTGTGAATTCATTTTCTATTCGTATGTAGATGGTTTGCTCTCAGCATAAATTCTGGATTATTGTAATATCCTTCCCAAATAAATCAAGCTTACCTAGTAAAGGAAAATAAAGTAAAAAAATAAGTGTTAAAATAAGAACAGAGGTAATTGTTTTGAACTTATATATGATAATAAAGAAATGTGTAGTAAAAGAAAGAGGAAAGAAAACCAAGAGGAAGGAAAGAGGTACAACGAAGAATAGAATAAAGTAATCATAACGTAAAATCAAAAATACATAGTTGTCAGCAAAAGGGGTAGTCCAAGTTGTGACTTACATATTGAGGATGTCAAAATCCAGCATGTACAGGAATTTACGTATATTTTTAGTGCAGTAACAGACTATTTGAAAATGCACAACAGAAATCTGAAGAGGCATAGTTATAGTGAAAAGGGCACGTTACAAACAGCAAATTTAGTAAGTCGATTTAACTAATATTTAAAAAATATTAAAATAGCTTTAGAAGTAAAAAAAAAATTTAAAATATAGTGCAGAACTACTAGTTAATATATTTTGTCTGAATTTCAAGAATAAGTTGTTATCATTATTTATATTCGGATTAATGTCACAATCTTGTTTTTTATCGCAATGTTTCGGCTTTCGACCAGGGTAACCTTTTGATCAGAGTAACCTTCTAGGGTTTCAATACGAACCCTTTCTGTAATCTTACTTTAATCTTCTATTTCCTCTGTCCATGTTTAGGGATATCTTCCCTTTTCCTTATTTAGTACTAATCAGTTATTAGTCTCCCTGATACCACAGTCAGTACTACTCAGATCAAGACTTGAACTCACAGAATATTACTCACTTAGACTAAGTAGGGAGATATAATTTTATTTTTTAAAACGATAATAAACTGATTTATAGTCTAAGTTAATTGTCTACAATATTTGATTACTGGAATCTTTGTATTTATTATTAAACAATTTATGAGATATTATACTTGGTTTGGTTTGGTTTCGTTTCGTTTCGTTTCGTTTCGTTTATGGCATATCAACCCCAATGGCTTATTTAATGCCGACAAAATTTTCATTGTTGGTAATATTTTTTCCAAAAATCTATTTCTGGTAATAATTTTCCTTCGCTAGTAATTTTTTTTCCAAAAAAAAAAATGTATAGATGTTAATGTTTTTTTTTCAAAAATGTATTGCTAGTAATAATTTTTTTACAAATTATTTCTGGTATTAAAATCTATTTTTACACTTTCATAGTGTTTTGACCCCAGTTTGGGGGTTAACTATTTGCCCATAGGAGGAACCCTAACAGATGCTACCACCCCGGGTCAGGGTGGACCTGGGAATACAAGCAATTAAGTGGGTGGTTCCACGCTCTTCAAAACCTCCTGATCAGAGGCCTTGCTGCTGGACGTAGTTTATCGTCTTACCCAGGACGCGAGATATTATACGCTTCAAACATAAAGAAAATAGATTAATACGTGAGTTGAATTGTTATATATCTCTGTTAAAATTTTCGTTAAATCTGGAATAACAATTTTAAGTTTTGTTTCTAAGTCTTGAGCAAATGTTTAGGGCACACATTCATATACAACTTAATATTTCTTAAGCTATTTATATTGTTCAGACTGTTGTCATCATCGTTATCGTCATATTCACAATCTTTATAGTAATATTCATGACGTTTCGGCTGTTGTACGCTCCGGCTTTCTTCAGGTGATATATGTTGAAATTTCAAACCGAACCCTTTCAGTCCAAGAGGATAGATTATTCTAATTCCACATGCCAT